GCGGATGCGCACGCGCACACACACACACACATCAACGTGCACACAGACAATTAATATGTATAAATAAAACAGTCATTTCTAGTCCACTTTCTACTGAAGCCCAGCATCAAGAACACAGTCATCCACCATATAACATTTTTTTTTCTTATTCTACCTACCATTTTTTACAGCAGACATCTTTCTTCAGATTGCAACAATCAGGCTACAAAGAACTGAACCCAGTAAATGCACTATAATAATCCAAGTCTCTAAGGCAGCTTGTATCTTCAGTAATATATTTTACAATAATAATCCTTGTCTCTGTTGCCTTCTGGGTAGAAAGTCTACACACAGCTAATATAGGTAAATAGCATGTAGTCCACACCACTAGAGGCAAAGGGCAATTGCATATTAGTCCTGCCGGGTCCCCTGAAGATGAATCTCTTTGTAGTTTGAAAAAAAATCCCCCTCTGGCTGTTCCAAGCAATTTACAAATCCATCAATCTCATTACACAGGTTTGCACATATCAGACTGTCTGTATGTATTATACAGGTTTGTATGTGCTCCACCGGTTTTGCAACAGTCGAAGGATATATATAAATAAAATGTCACTCGTACAAGATAGAGATCTTGAGAATGATTAACTAAATCCTTGTCTGTCTTAGCCAAGTCCGCCCATTGGTTATATTGTGTTGCGGTATACCTTTATTGTTAGAGCACGCAAGTACGTGGTGCTCATACCACGACAATGATATTAGATTACAGTGTCCAGTCAAATTGTCAAAATGTCAGTAGCCACATGACTGCTCAGAGATAACACGATACAGTTGTATTATCTGTAATGTCCAAGTCAGTACATTAGCATATGGACATAAATCAATTCTTTTACCCAGCTCTTTAATATCATACCATCTAGAAGTATAGGCCAGCAGTGTCCTGTCAGCTGTCACCTTGTCAGGAGTCGGGTTTCTGTATCAGTATTGCTGTAGGATGTCCTTCTCCTTCTGTGATTTACTGGTAGCTGCTTCTTTCAATTCCCACTGCAGAAGATTCACATTAAAGTAATCATCTCCTGAAACACTCTCTCTCCCTATGTATATAAATATACACGCAACTCCATCCATAAAGAAAACAAAGTCTATGTGTCAGAGGCATCAGCTTTCACTATTACTGTCAGTTTTTTCCTCTAGTTATCTTCTCTTACTACAGACATGCAATAAGAAAACATGCACTGTGCCTGCGCTAACTGCTTCCCAAATCTTCGAAAGAATTCCTCTCTTGTTCTTACTGGCGGTACAGGAAAGAAGAGTGCAAAACTGAGGAAAACATGAAGATGTGTGTGTGATAGATAGAAAGATAGGTAAACCTCCTGATGGACAGATGCTAAATAACTGGTATATTTGTCCAATCAGTATCACTGGTCAGTGATCAAGCACCTGTGGTCACAGTTTGGGGTCCAAATATCTCAGATAGTATATATTTGCCCTTAACTTCTCCCCCTTGAAAACTTGCAAGGTATTAAAGCCTACAAGTTTTTTTTTTCTTTACAGATTTCCTCAACTGTTTCTTTAATTTTAGTTTTCAAGGAACTTTACTAAGAATCCAGCAATACTTTCAGTTGCAAATTTGGTGTTCAACCTCTTTCGTCTCACTTTGATAACCTTAAGGTATTAATACCAAGTTGGATATAGTCCAGATCTCCCAACTGATACAAAAAGAAATAAAAAAAAACTGGCCACAACCAATTCAACTGGCCATAAGTAACAAACCCCAAACTGACACAAACGAGCACTGTTCCCACAAACTTTGCCAAGAAACTGAAGCAAATTTCTGACCACTTTGCCAACTAGTCCTCTTTGATGTATGTTTTTGCTTTATAAGTGGGCAAGCAAATCGGCAACTAACAGTTATTTCCACAAGCTTTAAAATTTCTTCTTTGGTTTACCTTCAAGTCGGAAAACCAGAGGCACTGGTTCTTCACTAAAATTTCAGTGTTCTGGAGTTTAGGTTGTAATATTGGTAACGTGCCATGCACTAAAGCAGTTTATGTTCAGTTCACCAATCCTCTTCCTATGATGCTCATATGACAATAAAATGACCTATTCCATCCTATTCTCCAAAAGAAATCCTCATAAAGCATCCACGATATATTATGCCAGAAAACTGCAGCCAGTATATGTAGCAATATGCTCTTCTATTCCAAAAACAGACACTGGTAACTTGAAGTCCCAACTGTACTGATCAGCATGGAGAACTCTTCATCGATGTATACTCAATTTCACAAATTCCTCTCAGCACCTGGACTACTCAGCCAGTCCCTCCCTTAGCCTTGACCATCCCCAATATGAAGACAAACTGACCACTATCCACATGTAAGTACCAGGATGCTGGCTATCAGGGGGTCAATACTGCCCAGTGCCTAGTACAATAATGACAGTGGAGTATCATCTCCCTATATTGACTATGGTGGTCAATGTTACCTTGTGCCCAGTACAAAAAAAAATGAGGATGGGGTATCATCTCCCTGTATTGACTATCAGGTGGTCATTACTGCCCAGCACAATGACAGTGGAGTATCACCTCAATGTAATAAATATCAACTATCAGGAGGTCAATGTTGTCCAATGTCTAGTAAAATAATGAGGATGGGGTACCTATCATCTTCCTTTATTGACTATCAAGAGGTCAAGGCTTCTCTCTGTCCATTAATGCCCTACCATTATCATCAATGCCCACTGTGCATTATTTTAATGATAGGCAGTTTAAAGTTGTCACAGGGCAACTCCAGTGCACAAGTATACATATATATATATAGATATATATGTGTTAGATAATAACCATCAGTTCACCCAGAAACAAGGCAGCACTAAGCCAAGCCACACTCTTGCAAAATGTCAAAGTAGATCCAATACATGACCAAGATAATTGATACCCGCAATTGAATTCCCATCAATTTTCTCCACTTAGTTCTACAACTGTTGCAGCATTATTCAATTGAGATTCTATTTCTGAAGCTGTTGCGCAAGAGTTTTCTGTTGCATATGTGGAAGAACACGACAAAAAGGAAATGTCAGACTATTTTTGTAAGAAAGAAACAAAAGTTACAAAAGAATCAGTCATGAGATTGACAATTTGACAAAAAGTGTGAAAATCAATGTTCCATAGTTCCTTCAAAACTGCTGAAATTGTTAGTCTTGTGTATGCACATTTAAATCTTACAGCCCAATTTACATTTACAAAATGTATTCCATGACTTTTTAATAATCTACTTTAAATATATACCCACACTGATGATTCTAAATATATATAATTCTTATATAAATCATGATGCCTGCAGCAAAAACATTAAAGATTTATAAACCAGAGCTTTTGTGATAAAAATAATTTTGCATTATTCAACAAACATAAGTAATATTTCATCACTTCATTACGACTTCCATTAGTCATTATATTTAGAGAACCAACACACTTTTCTATACGGTTCTTTTGAAAAACCTGCCACAACCCTGATTTTGCATGATCAGTGTAATTCTAAACATCTGTGAAGTACTGATAATCTATGGAGAGAGTAAATTGAACTCGCATGATGCCAAATTTACCCCATGTTTTACAAAACTAATTCAATTTGACTACAGATAACACAGATACCTGAAATTTAATTATTAAATGTCCTTTAACTTTAGTGTGAGGAAAGTAATTTCAGTTTTCCTATTTGTCTGAGATGAAAATAAACAGAATGCTAGGGAAAGTTTGTGGATAGGAAAATGATGTAATGAAAAACATGCTATCACCTGAGATCCAGAAGAACTGCACTATGGGAGAAGGGGGGGGGGGGGGGGGCAAATCCACAACATGGGAGCGGTGTTTTTGATGAGCTACTAAGATACAATGCTGAACACAAGAAGATAAAGTTCCAAACAAATTATAAACCATAAGTTAGTTCATGTCAATATTATATATAACATAAACTGTAAAACAGGACAAGCAGATATTTGGTTCTAGTTGATACATTTTCATACTGTATTTGCATTCGCATGATGGGACATAAAAAAGAGCTGTTACCACTGAAACAACATCACACACCTAAGGGAAACAAGCAATCTGTGACATTATCAAATTACATCTGACAAAACCATTCTCATTTTCCATAAACACATCTCATTAACATCTCATTGACACTTCAATCATACAGAAACAACAGAAACAAGACAACATTGTAATCATCAGCATCATCTGCAACTTAACACAGTAACCATCAATAATGGCTCAACATTACAACATTCAACAACAAAAACATCAACATTGTAATTATCAACAACTCAACATTGCAACCATCTGATCAACAACATCTCCACATTGTAACCTACAACAAAACTGCAATCATCAAAACCAACAACACCAACAATAACCCTATTTCTCACCATTCAATACACAGCATTGTATTTCATGATCACTGCCATCACCCATGCCACAAATCTTCATCATTGATATCATCACTAATACCATTATCATCATCATCATCATTCCATCAGTTTTACCATCATTAATCCATTAACCACGCTATCATTCCATCAATCTAACCATAATTCAGAATACAATTATATAATCCAGAATACAATATCTAGAATTGTTCGGACTGATTAAATCTGAAAGAAATGTCTGAAAGTTGTTCAGTAACAGTGATAATGGAAACAAGTCAATCTAAGTAGCATCACTGAAACAGTTGAGCAATACTGTCATTGTGATAAGGGAAAGGCTGGGGCATTAACAATTTCCACCAAATCCTTAATCTATTTAAAAACTTGGGTGAAACAAAAGGGAAAGTATTTCACTAAATTTAAAACACTATTGTTAACTTGGCAAGCCACTTACAGTCAACAGCAGTTAAAAATTTCTTACTATAGGGTTAAAATAAATCAACAGTACAAAGGGCAATGGAGGTATGGACAGCAAAGGACAAAAAAGGTGGTTTACAAATAACTTCATATAATAATCCGATAAACTTCACAAGAGAACTCACCATTTTCCTCCTGTTCCTCGGACCTCTCCAGAGCCACTCTGTTCCCAAACCCTTCCAGCGAGCCCTGCTTCTTCACCTTGGGAGGTACTGGGGGCCGCCCTTGCAGTCGCCCCTGGGATGTGGTGTGACGGGTCACCACCTGTTCGAATACGCCCACCTTCTTCAACACATGACCTCTCTGAAGTAACGCAGATGGAATTTCCTTCTCCTCCTCTCCTGATCTCACTATGGAGGGATCAGGCTGCCCCTCCTCATCGGCCCACGCTCTGGGCAGGGTCACCGATTTGGCCTCTGGTGGGGAGACGTACCGGGTCGTTTTCTTAGTGTTGAGTGGTGCCCCCTGGATATTTTTAGCCGAGAGGACGTATCCTGGGATTCTCATTTGTCGCTTTGGTAGGTGGTGACCTGATGGAAGAACATGACTGGCTGAAACCGAGGAGGGTTTTGCTGAGATGGGAGGCTTGCTAGTGGAAGCAGGCAATGTTGAGGCACTGCGGGTTGAGTAATTGGCCTGGGATGGTTTATTATGAGTGCTGACTTCAAAGCTATCCACCTGACCTTCTATTATGCCATTATCTTGTTCAAATCCCCCAACCAAAGGATGTTCGTGTTCATCAGGTCTTGCTGGTGTGGAGCTATAGCCATACATGTACCCCTTGGTCAAGTCATCGCCACCATGGCTGTCCAGTGTCTCATTTGACATAGACTCATAGGTAAACTCTAACTGTCCATGCTCTTGTCCCTCATACTGTGTGATGGGGGAGCTCTTCAGGCAAGGTGGCGATACACTTGAGTAGGATAACTCCATACTCTTGGAGTAAGGCTTCGCCGACTGCAGCATCATCCCAGCTGGGAGACTACTGCCCCGTTTCTTCATGTCCTCCTCATACATATCCATACTGGCGATTCCAGATGACTCTGTGGGAGGCTCCGACTCCAACACCATGTGCTCGTGGTCTAGTTCTAATGGTTTCTCAGCAGGAACCTTCACGTCCATACTAGAGTCTAGTTTGCTGGACTGTCTTTTCTGTTTCACTGACGAGATTTCTTGGATAATTTGGTCTAAAGCGTCTTCATCAGCTTCCTGGAGTATTTGCTCCATGGCCTGTAAATAGGTCAAGGATGTTTCGTGAACATACTCCTTTTCAATATTCACCTTAATTTGTCCCGCAGCTTTTTTACTGGACTTTCTGTCCACATTTGCTTTAAGTTTATGACTCCCACTACGTTGATCACTGGCGACCCCGCCATTCACGGCTTGGTGCTCAGCTGGGGTTCCATCTCCAGGAGGTGGCGCCACTTTCTCTGAGCTATCAGATTTTTGCATTATCAATGACCTTATTGACCTTCTTCGTGTCACGGGTTTGCGAGACTTTGTTGAGGTCGCCTCGCCCGAGATGTTTTTATTTTTAACATTCTTGTCACCTGTTTCATTGCCGTCAGGTTGTGACTGCTGAGCAGGGCGTTGGTCCTGTGATAAATGACTGTCACCAGCACTGTCACCCACAGCTGTGACAGGAGCACTACCACTCTCTAAGAGCTCTGGTGAGGAAGCATAATGTGCAGTCCCAACTAACTCTCCCTGGAACGAATCCTGCTCTGCTGTATTCATAACTGTGGTTTGTGAATTATCTGGAGAAATGAACCTTGCTTTCTGGGACTTGTCATCTACAGAATAAGGCACAGAATCCACGACTACCACGCTGGCATTGCAATGAGAGCCCTCTGGTGAAATAAACCTGCCCTTGGGCGTGCTAGCATCTTCTCCATCTGGCACAAGGGAAGAGTCTGCTCTCTCAGGAGAGATGAAGCGCTTCTGGGAGTGGCCAATCTCACTAGCGGTAGTGGTCCCGTTGGTTGTGGTTATCTCCATCAAGTGCCACTCATGTTCTTGTAATGTTCACCTGTAAATATACATATACAATGAAATTAGTATTAAATTCTTCACCATGACAGCTGGAGAGTAATGGTCTGCAATACCACAACACTCCACAGGTGTGAAGTCATACCTCCTCCACTGGAGGAGACAGAGCTCTTTTTATTATTATTTTGAAAATATGAAAAGAATTAGATATCGAATTCAGCAAGCGCTAAAAAGGAGCAAAAAAGGGCATGCTTGATGGCAGCTTGACAAATACTTTATCTACAGTAATAATACTACTATAACAACATCTACTGTAATAGTATGGGGCAGTATGACAATATGTTACAATATTAGACAAAACCAAGTCTTAGCTCAAAACAATTATGCATGCTGTGACCGAAAGCAAACATTTGTAATTACCATTCGACTGCATTTACCGGCAGTATGCACAATACCTCTAACTTGGCTTCAAATAGAGATGTGCATGACTTACATATTAACTGAACCACCAAGACAGGTTTCACCTTTTTATTACTAATTTCTAATTTTGTTGGACTCATTTCCTCTGTAAATGAGTCAGAGGAACCAACTCTTACAGCACAAACAACACCTTAAGACAATAACTCTCTGTTTTCATTAAGTTTAAGTTGAAAATCAATTAACATCCCCACTGGCACTTTACTGCTATCCATTCCCACTTCTACGCAAACACACACACACACACACACACACACACACACACACACACACACACACACACACACACACATTATTTATTGTGCCTATACACTAACTTTGTGATGTCAGATTGCCAATGCCACTTAATTTCTGCTCTGCAGAGCATATGAACTGATTCACTCACAAAATACCATCTGATCTAACTATTCCTTCATTTAGCACGTATTTATGACTAACTGTCCAGTTTCAATTCAGTCAAACTGAACCCTTTGATTACAAGAGGTTGGTTAACACTCACATTTTTCCCCCTCGGTGTTGGACCATAACTAGGCCTCAGTTTAGGCATCACTTATTGTATTGTTAGATCAGATTTAGTATTCTCATTGCTCAAACTAGTTCAGAACTGTCAGACAACCCAATCCTTACTATTGCTTTAATCATCTGATATGCAGTGGGCCATCTCTGTCATGTCGGACTTTTAACTCAGTTGTATGCTTTTATCAAACATTTATCTACAAGTATATATGTAGTATGATACTATTAGATTGCAGTACAAAGCCAATCTATTTGGCAGTTAAACCTAGACATCCCTAATTGTCATTTGTGCATGGTTTAAAACATGATAAAATTATCAAGCACACAAGATACTATTCTTCTCGCAAATCTTAAATGACAGTTAACATATATGCCACCCAGGAAGGATTTGCATATTATACTATTCAACAAAACATTAAAATTAAGATGACAAGAAATTGGACTTAATGAGACACGCCTTGATGGAATCTTGAGATATAATATGTGCTAACTCTGGATAAATGTAGCCAAATAAATATCTCAAAATTAATCAATTATAATATAATATATTTGGCAAAAAGCTGTTACTAGTATATATTTTGCATCTCCTAAACCAAATTAGTTTGTTAATTAGCACATGGCCAAATTTTTTTATGGTAGGATGAAGCCAGATATCACTAAATGCAGGAAAGAGAGCAGACAATGCTAAATTAGGTTAATCCCTCCCCTGCTAAAAACGTTCTCCAATTAAATAATTTGATTAATTTTAAATAAAATATACCACACCTAAGTCTTTATCAATTCAAAGGAAGAAAATCTCACAAGAAGGAAAATATGATGTCCCAAACAAAGAGAAATGAAAAACAGACAACACAAAACAACTGACTGAAAAGCATACAACATAAAATAAGACAAAGGCACAAAAACACCAATAAAAAAACACATGAAAATTTCCGCTCCTTTGACATCTAGAGGATGCCTCCAATGTGTCATCCAACCATGTAACACAGCATCTGTTACTCCATGGAGCATATAACATCAACATACCAGGAGGCTATAATGTGTCACAACAGACATAACAACTGGATTAACTGCATGTTTGGCTGCAAACATTTCTGTCTATGGTAGACTCATAACCCTTGGCGAAATAAAATGGCTTTGTTTTATTTACGGCTGCAGAGTTGTGCGGATGACAATTTCATCTGTAGCTAACAAGTATCAATATGCACGAGACTGAGGGCACCAGAGAAAATACAACCCAACACTGGAAAACTTCCTTTTAAATTTTCTTAAATCCATTATATGTCTCCTCATGCAAATAAGTTATTTGGATGAAACAAGAAGGCAGGCCTATGTATTCAAACATGTGCATCTCTTGCAATCACATTCACCACTGTGCACACATTTGACCTTTTCCCAAACCACAACGTACATGTATGCATGTGATGACACTGATTGAATAGAAACTTACCTTTCATCCTACTAGTAATCTCACAAATGCAGAATGAAACCAGTCTTTCACTTTTCCTGGCAGAAAAAAAAAAGTGCAACATATCCCACATGTCAACTTTTGACTGAGGTTTTATTGTAAAACCATCTTCCTACAGTCTGACTCACAATACTATCATTTCCCTGTGTTAGCAACACAGGAACTGATAAAAAACATGTGCCATCACTTCAAATGATTAAGTTTTTTACAAAGCTGTTAACTAAAGACAAATGGAAATGCTGAATAATAAAACAATTGCAAAAAAAACTTTACAAACTTTGTGGTTCCATCTAACCATTTAGAAACCATGCATATCCTTTACACCACCAAAACATATCTTTATCTTTTAAATTATTCCTTCACATAACCAATGAAAAAGAGGAAGAAAACAATCAATGCCACCTTTTTACTGATATTTTTAACCAAACTGATAGCCATGGAGGAGGTAAAGCGTACAGAGAAGGGGAGGGGGGAACTGATATGACCTTTTAAGGTAATATATTATCATAATTTAGGGGAAAAGAATACAAAAATACAAAAAAAAATCTTTATGTTTAATCTATCCCTGTCTTCATGGAGGCTGTGAGAACAAAAAGAGTCAAGCACAAGAGTGCTTGGTAAACACAATGAAAAGAAAGCAGGGACTGGCTTTCTCACACAGCATCTAAACATCACTTCCAATTCCAATAGCTGACAAGCCCCTTCAGATCATTAAGTACAATTCCACAGAGAAGAGTGGTAACACAACCCCAGGTTCCAGACAATAGTACATGTTTACCCTGCAAATAGCCAAGACCTATACAAATCAATGCCAACAGGGCTGAGGAAAGAGCACAGGCTTAACCTTAACCTTTCACTGTGACTTGGGTGTTCCAACAACACAACCCGAACACATCATCCAGTCATAGAACCCTTTTTTCCTTATGAGGATTTTGGTGTCAAATATCAGTTGTTTAGAAAGGGGAAGTTTGTTGGAAAACAGGTATTAGTATTCATATTACACAGTGTGAGTAACAGCATTACAAAAACAGAGCAGAGACAGACAGTATAGAGGATTGTATTGGGTCTTTCATTCAACAGTGTGAAACTTTTATGTCTTGTTCAGAGGTAGATCAATGCAGTCTTAGAATAGCCTTATGTCATGTTTCTAGTTAACTTAGGCCAGCATCATTTGGTACAATCAATCTCACCAAGATGTCCATTTATGATCAGCTCACCACAGGCCAGGGTAACATCTAATCTTTCCCTTGTCCCGTCCTCTACACTTAGATTGAAATAACAATGTTATTCTATGGGATACCTATGGTAAAGTTGGCGAATAACTAAGTCTAATGAGATAGTGAGTTGGTAGCATATCAGGCTGAACTGGAACTAACTTGACTGAAAACATGACTATCCTGATCATCCAGACAGCTGAGCATGGGATTTGAGTTATTAAGCCATACTTGTGACCCAGTGACATTGGCTGGATCATCTCTAGTCTAAGTTAGTCCAGTTGTGAACACAGCTTCTTGCTTCCTAGACAGGAGTGGTTACAAATCCCCTTTTTCTAAAAAGGCTTATAAATTAATTATAATATAATCCTTATTGCATGTTAATACACATTGTGCATAAACTCTACTGTAAACAGGATTTTTTTTCACTTAAAGCAAGTTGCTGGGTGAAAATATTTCATTTGAAACCCAGTATGTTTATACAGATTGCAATATATTATATGTGCATTCCTACATATCAAGTATATCCTGGCAGTTTATCAACAGACTGCTGTCATGCTGAAACACCTAAGTCAACTAATTTGTTATATAACGCATGCTGACATAGGAAACACATGATGGTGTTTAAAGGTATCTGCCCTTTTCAGGGCTACTAGACATCAGGGACATGGCACACGGCTTTCTATATTGCAAACTCCAGCATTCACCATATTGCTGATCAAGTGTATAATACTTGTAGTACACACACACACACACACACACACATGCACACAAGTCTCTATCTATCCACAAGAGAAGGGAGAAATTAGGAGGAGAGGAGGGGAGCAAAAGCTTTTATGACACCATATGTGTGTAGCCTTATTAATCCTAAACATATAAAGATCAATACTTACACTAGGGTTATAAATCTCATGTGCCCAGCACCCTGCTATTCTCTTGGGACATTCCAGAGATGTCATGGGTCAGGGAATTATCAGGTGACAATCAAATGACACTCATAACCATTGATTAACACGGAAATAGTCTGCTGTTAGGGAATATCTTCTCAGTGATTATATAATACTACATTTAAATACATTTTAGTTTTTTTTTTTAGGGGGGGGGGGTTACCATTAAATTAATAGGCCCTCATGACAGATATTACTGAAATTATTTTAACAGGAATTTAAAAAAACAATGTCACTATAGCAGATATAGTAAGTGCAATTTTCTTACTTCATAAACGATAAGCATTTTTTTTTTCTTTTTGATACTGACCTATATACAAGGGGCAGTAGTCTTTTAAGTTATGTTCTTAAAAGAATAGGGGATACCTAGTCAGCAGATTGGTCAAAGCTCTCTCTCCAGAGTAGAAATGTACTCACACTGGCCTAGCCAGTTTTGGACTTGATCTCTTTTCATAAGCCCAAGCAGTAAAATGGCATCATTGACAAACTTGTTATTGTGGCAAAAAAGACGTATGCACATGCCCCCCAATTCCAGAAACATTGATAGACTCAGGCGATTACACCATGTATCTAGACAGTGGTGTCTCTACACAAAAACTGAAACAATTACTCAACATACCTTCTTTGTAAAACTTTTTACTCTGCCACCTTGAACCCCATTCTATGCATCACTAACCAAAAGCTACTTACAGACCACAAATATATATTTTCTAAGTTAAGAGGGGAAAAAAAAGAATACCTCACTACCTTCTTGCTCTGCCCTCCTTCCTGTTCCCATGGACTTAAAGTGTCACATGGTCCCATTAACTAGTCCCGGGTCAGTGGACATGCATTTATCCAGCCTCATTAATGACAAGGGGCATGTTATTAACAATTTTGTGAGTTGACGCGACCCAAATGAGAGACCAAAGATAGGCAAGGCGTAGGTTATTACACACAATCAGTCTGATAAAATACAATGATGACAATGATAAGATTCTATCCAACGAGTGAACTATGAACACGGAAATCTAATCTTGAAGGTCAATAGCACTAAAAAACTATCAAAAAACATAACTCAAAACTGTGAAGAATATGTATTAACGCACCAAGAAGACAACCTTATAGGTGTTGTACATAGGTAACTTACAAGAGAGAGAGCTTCATCCAGCCTGCCATCTGCAGCAACAACTATGTCACTGACTTGTAATAAATATGTATGCCACAATGTGTCACCAACTGTATGTCACCATCCAACATGTTACATTGGGATCAGCCCCTGGCAAAACACTATACCACCTATGGATAGAGAGAGTTCTACTCCAAAGGTACATTTACACTCGAGTCAAATTTGGATCCAACCTCTACAGCCCTGATGTGCATGGGGTTAAAATCAATAAGATGTGACCAGTTTTCACGACATAAAATATTTGTCGTGCTGAGAAAAAAAGTTCTGTGATACCTGTGGTAAGGATGCCACTCAACTTCCTTAAGGACTCTTACATTTGACTTCGCAGCACCAAAGGCTGAAGTCAACCTCTTTTCAACTGATCCACACAAATACACCAAAAAAAACTTACTAGTGCGACCCAGGGCAGAACTGACCTGAACCGGTCTTTCAGTGTAAACAGATCACCAGATAAAGCCAATTGACAACATCCATATGGCGTGAAATGATGCCCCATGCAATCTCACTGTGCTGTGACAATGCCACCAAGACCTTTGACAAAATCTTTAATAAGTCCATGCATTCCTTTTTTCCCAACAGTTACAACCCAGCCGAGATCTCTTGCAGTGTTTAGCATTTACAGTCAGTACGGTTGGGTCAACTTAACTTATCACTGCATGCTTATCTGAGATGTTACAAGTATCATACCTAAAACAGTCTGGAAAAAGTGGGTAATTTCCACCAAAAAAGAACTTTGGGTAAATACTGTTCTAAACTTCAAGACAAATATCATTGTTCACTCCACCATGTAACTTTTGGTCCAAATGGCAGCCATTTCTTTCTTGTTATAAATAAAACAGGGGCAACCTTTCATTTCATTTTGACTTCAACTAATTTACCATGAATTAGATAAAAGGAATATGTGATTTTGCCATGTCTTAACAAATTTATTAGATATTGCCATCTCTAAATCATGTTGGTCTGATCTCAAAAGGTAAAATGAATGAGCAGTAGCCAAGATTAGATATTTTCTCATGTTTTTAAAAAGCACATGCCATAAAGTAGAGACCAACTTTAACTCGAGTTACTTTATTAATAGGCCCTAGCTACTTAAATTTTAACAACAACAATTTTCATATGTAATCAAAAGTGTTTCCTGTCTTTACATATTTCCACTGTTTACTCAATGTTTTGTTTACATTTCTGGTTTCCTGTTGATGTCAAAGATCTTAAATTAGTGAAAATACAAGATTTTGTTTATCAGCGAAATCCAAAATTTCTTCATGAGTCAAAAACAAAATGAAATTCTGTAAAATATTTTTGTAACATGTAGATAAGCACCATTGCTGGGTTCACTTCATTGCATAAAAATTTTATTTCATTCACTTTTTACAAATTAACTTTTATCATTATCTTTATACTTTTTTTATTTTATTTCATCATCATTTTTTGCCAAAACTTTGCCACAAATATTTCCCACATACTAGTAAATGATCATTCTTTTTTTACCAGGCATTTCTCGCATCATTTTTCACTGTTCTCCTTTTTGGAAAAAAAAACTTTGTCAAAGTCACTTCACAAAGGTAAATATCTGTTTTAACCGCACATTACTCACTGCCCCACTATCAAGTTAGATTTTGCCAAAGGACCTAGGTTATATCCCCAGCCAATGCCAGTGTTTCCCCTGCACTTAAATGAGCGAGGCGCCCGCCTCGCTGATATTTGCAAGCGCCTCGCTGAAATTTGTCAAAAGCACCGCCTCGCTGGGCTATATGGAACAACAAAGTATATTTTCACTCATGCTAACTGAAAATTATATTCATTTCTAAGCAAATATGGCAATTTCTGTTTACGTACGTAATCCCATGCTTCTGAGCACTTGATTTGGTAGTATCGGAAATACGCATGCGCGTATGCCTAAAAATAACCAGCAGTTACTATCACCCTGTGAGTGCCTCGTTTTCGCAGTTCTGTGCCTTATTTGAAGTATAAGAGACAAAGCGAAACGAGGCAACTGTTCTTGACACCATTTAATCACGTGTCAAGAATACACTTTCTCTATCACTTCATGTTCCGAAATTCAGACCGCCTGTTTTTTGTTTTTATAGTTTACGAATATTCACTGATAAAAAAGGAGCAAATAAAGTGGACTTCGTTGATTTTATAAACTTGGAGAAGATTTTCTATTGATTTACGGGTGAGTTTTGTGAAAGCAGTAGCGTTGTAAAACTGGGTCACGTCAGTATTTCGCGTGGAAACCTATGCATTGAATATGAATTTCCATGACTGAATAGAACCATAAAAATGAATAAACGAAGAACTAAAATTGATGATAAGTGTGATTTTCATCTCTTTAATTCCGAAGAATTCATTTAAGGGTGTTTGAAGTTGTTGATTATAAATTACATCTCAAACTACGTATAACTAGTAGCGGGAGTCGCTTTGCGCTGACCAACAAGAGAGAGAATTTTTTGCGGCAGTTTTATATTAGGATGAAGCGCTCCCACACGCAAAGTCAATTGACCAGTTACTTTCACAAGAATGTGAAAACGGTAAAAACAACATATTTTATCAACTTTTTGGTCAATTTAAAAATAATTCAATGTAGTAAGCCCTTTTTCTCGTTTCTTGTAAGTATTAAAGTAGTTAACTTTTTTTTTTTGAAAGAGTATGTTCTATAAACTGAAAAGGACTAAACTGAGTGAATGCACAGACTGGAAAATAAATTTTGTCCAAACCTTTGTTATGTTATTACTGAATTTACTCCTCAAAACATCTAAAACAAGACAATTCAGTGCCACATAAAATGTAAAAAAATTCAGTTCTAAATACCCTAATATGCACCAAATTGCACCTCGGTTTAAAAAGTTTTCTGGGGGGGGCATGCCCCCGAACCCCCCTAGTATTGCTGGGATCGCGGACTGCCTACTACCTCGCAGAGCTTGAAAGCCAGGGGAAACACTGCAATGCTATTTCAATATTTACTGCGTACTAGTATCCACATCTTTGGAGACTATCGTAATATACAGCAGTATGAGGGACAGTTATCAAAAAGAGACATCTAAATGGAAACAAGCTTATCAGTATGTACATTTGACAACAGGTGGTCACAGGTAGACGTTTTTCTACCCTCAAGAGTTATGCCACAGTACTCTGTATTATAGTACTACTATGGGTAAATAGCGTTAAATGCTATTTCTTTCCCACACACAAGATTGGTCGGCCCAGCCAATGACTGTCTTTCTTTAAATCCATATCTTAAACCACACACACACACACACAAACACACACACACACACACACACACACACACACACACAAAGTTGCAGCAATCTCACCTGTCAAATTCTTCTTCAATGAGGTAATAAGATCACAACCCTCTATCTCTGCCCTCAAACAACAGAGAAGACGTGTTATAAGACCTCTGCCCCAATGCAGTCAACTTTCTTTTGGGTCATGTATTCGTGCTGCTGCCAGTGTCACAGCAGAGAGACACGGGGAGATTTCATCCAATCAGGAGACTGTCAAGGTGATCCACTGAGAAGTATCATGCAAGGAGAATGAGCGAAGCCATGCTGTCACTTTGCATAATGGCTTTAACCCAACTTTTTTAGGGGGGGGGGGAGACCATTATCTGTTCAAGGTTCTAAGCATTTCGAATAACTTTTGTTTTCTATTTTTTTTTTCAAGATTAAACATTTTTTGCACTTACACCAATGTGCTATCTGACACAATGTAAAAAGATTTTTCAAAACTTTTTAATCAACATTTTTTAGTATCACCAAAAAAATACTGGGGGCGGGGAGATATTTTCAATTGATGTTTTTGTGCACTTATTGAATAATTACCATAATTTAATTTTGACAAGGTCAACAAGGTTTAACATGACATTACTTGATAATGAGACATTGAGGGGAAGTCCACTGAAAACATGTCAGCAGATGGGGTAACCACATGTTCCTCTCAAGGTGCGTTCAGACAAGTGGATAACCCAAGACCGAAAGAGGTCTGTTGAATAACAAGACCTTGATTTTGTGAAACCTGTATATTTAAAATCAACAGCAATGGTGGTAGGACCAGTGGCTAACATCGTTAGAATTAAGTCCTGTCCCCCCCCCCCCCCCCCCCCCCCCTTACAAACAAACATATAACCACAGGGGTTCAAATCCTGTGCTAAACAATAATGAACTTCAGCTATAAAAAAAGTACACTGCTGCTTTCTTACAAATTTCCTGTGTTCTCTTCTTGGAGAGGAGTTTTGGACAGTCACACTCAATCACATACCATTGACACATTGATATGGTTGGACTGGGTTTGGATTTATCTTCTTCATAAATGCACTTCGTAATTCCATTGAGAATATAATTACTGCCACTTAGGCTCGTCACTTCCAATAATAAATGTGTCTGTAAAGATGCTCCTGACTGCCCAATAATCAAGTCAATTAGTAACTGTCATATTATCTTTATATTACCCCTGCCATGCTATTACTATCATTAGAAAATAACATGACAAACCAAATGGATATGAATTAACTAAAACATCACAAGTACACATCCAATTACAGAAGTCCTAGTTTTATTAAGCTGTTTGTCATTATTGCTTTTTTTTTTAGCAATGGACGTGTATCACGTGATAAATTCCAGAAAACAAAAACTTTTGCAGATGAGCATTCCCTAGTTGATGTTGGTTAGATAAATGCCTTCCACAACAATATTACCTACCAGTATGAATCATCTCCAACATATGGCATGATTTCCTGCAGTCAAATTATTCAAATTATTCCGGGGCAAAATTTTTAACAATACTGACAGGAAATTGATAAACAATGAGATGAATATGTTTCATTTTTCAACTCAAATAGGAAATGGTCAGGAACTGGTTTAAATGTACTTAGTTGTAGTGAACCTTACTCTTTTGAGGATAATTAATGTAATGTAGTGAAAAAATCTTTTTACCTTTTCTTTCTCAATTTTAACCATTATCTTACAGTGCTTGACTTTTATTTTCTATGCAATAGTATATCAGGTTCAAACTACATAAGAGTTTTTCAAATTTAACAGCCACTTGCTTAAAAAAATTTTCCATAAACATATACATATACATTTCCGGCAGGCTTTTTCAAGCATGGCTTCATGTTATAAATAAAACCCTATCAATGCAGAAAACAATTTTAACTGATACTTCATAGGTGAACAATGGATTCTTTCCATTTTCTCATTTACAGGCTTCATGTGTTATGAATGTACTGGAACTTAAATGTTTTCTTTATGCCTGAGTTTTAGAGTTTTATTAAGAAGAGGCCCTAAAATAAATTTTCTGCTTGAATGAAATCCACATTTGTAAGGTCCTAAGCATGGAATGAATGTCCTAAATGTATCTTTACCTTCTCCATAAAAGT